TTGAATGGATAAAGAACTTACGATGAAGTTTTCGAATATTTATACTTAGCGTGAAATTAGTGTTTGTTAGAATTAGCCCAAAGCTCGCCTAAAAAAAGCATGAATGTGTAGTCACGTTCCTATCGTGGCTAGGTATACCTCTACGGTAACGGATCTCTTGTTTTAACGGAGTAGTTGCTTAAGCGGCCACTTGTTCAACTGGCAGCGATATTTTAGCTAACAGCTTGTTTTAATGGACTAGTTGCTTGAGGAGCGGACCACTTGGTTAAGCTAACCACTTGTTTAAGCTAACCACTTGTTTTAACGGACTAGCTGCTTGAAGGCTTGGTTTTAACTGAGCCGCTGAGCACATATTTTAATAGGACATTTGTTTTAACAGGGCATTTGTTTTAATAGGACATTTGTTTTAACAGGGCATTTGTTTTAACAGGGCATTTGTTTTAACAGGGCATTTGTTTTAACAGGGCATTTGTTTTAACAGGGCATTTGTTTTAACAGGGCATTTGTTTTAACAGGGCATTTGTTTTAACAGGGCATTTGTTTTAACAGGGCATTTGTTTTAACAGGGCATTTGTTTTAACAGGGCATTTGTTTTAACAGGGCATTTGTTTTAACAGGGCATTTGTTTTAACAGGGCATTTGTTTTAACAGGGCATTTGTTTTAACAGGGCATTTGTTTTAACAGGGCATTTGTTTTAACAGGGCATTTGTTTTAACAGGGCATTTGTTTTAACAGGGCATTTGTTTTAACAGGGCATTTGTTTTAACAGGGCATTTGTTTTAACAGGGCATTTGTTTTAACAGGGCATTTGTTTTAACAGGGCATTTGTTTTAACAGGGCATTTGTTTTAACAGGGCATTTGTTTTAACAGGGCATTTGTTTTAACAGGGCATTTGTTTTAACAGGGCATTTGTTTTAACAGGGCATTTGTTTTAACAGGGCATTTGTTTTAACAGGGCATTTGTTTTAATAGGGCATTTGTTCTAACAGGGCATTTGTTCTAACAGGGCATTTATTTTAATAGGACATTTGTTTTAACAGGGCTTTTGTTTTAACAGGGCGTTCGTTTTAATAGGGTGCTTTTTTAACAGGGCACTTCTTTTAACAAGGCACTTGCTTTAACGGAACATCTACTTCGGCCTTGCATATTCTCGCTCAGATTGGTTTACAGGCTGGCTCTGTGGGTGGCCGCCTAAGTTACTACTTTCCACGCTGCCTTTCCATGATGCCTTTCCACGCTGCCTTTCCCTTCCACGCTGCCTTTCCACGCTGCCTCTCCACGCTGCCTTTCCACGCTGCCTTTCCACGCTGCCTTTCCCTTCCACGCTGCCTTTCCGTGATGCCTTTCCTCGCTGCCTTTCCATGTTGTTCCTGGCTGTTTTGCCCGCTGTTGTCCTCGCTGACATTTTACACCTGCAATTGAGACCGGCATCAATGTCGACAGACAAGCAAACCACCTTTGTAATTGCAACGTAGCTGTAATGTATTATGTTTTTGCTCATGGTAGTTAAATAAAAGCTTCGAGGCTAAGGAATTCGGACATGTGCCGTGACGCGCCAATCACTTACAGAGCTCACAATGGAGCCAGGAAACTAAAGCAGGTCAACACTTTATGCACTTACTTACCATACTTGCTTGTCACGGCGACCACTAAGCAGGAAACCAGGGAGTAGACCACTAAGTTCATGAAAATAGTATGGACCCTGGGTGCGTATAAGACAACAGGGGGTGGCCGCTAGTTACGCAGAAGACAACAGCGGGTAGACCGCTGGACCGATAGGTGCGCAGAAGACAACGGGGTTCGCTCCTCACCCTTTTTACTGCTCGATTTCTCCAAAACCGCGGAATCTTTTACGTAAGCGCATTATAAATTTAAAGAGTAATTTCTAGCTAATTCTCTATAGATAATCCCCTTTGAAAGCAGATAAAACAACATTTCGAAAGTTGGTTTTGAATGCTTTGGATGCTGCGCCTAATCGGCTAAAGAAAGTTTGCGCCGAACTTTCTAGCATTGCCGAACGCGAAGCTGCTAGCAGCACGCCATCTGATCACATCATAAGGGGCAGACTGAGGGATTGTGTTAGGGAATGTCTTTTAGGACCCGAAAGAGGTTGACTTTAAGAGCTTCGGCACTCCAAGACACATCTGCCTTGGCTCTCACTCTTTCTTTCATGTCACGCTTGGGCAGTACATTCATTCTAGTTCCGCATTAAAATAAAACTAGTGCCAAGTGATTTATTTTAGCGTCTACAATAACATGCGTAAGTCGAACTCCCAGTACGGTGCAACATTCTATGGAACAGAAGAGTTCTTTCAAAATGTATTATCTTTCCCAAGTTTGTGAAGGAACCGGCCGGTATGTCTCTGCAGTCCATGCTTAACCCCGCAACTGCGGAGCCGTCGACAACGTCGGCGCAAGATCAATTCACAGCAACAGAACAGCCCAAGACTTCTTTTGGGCTCTCCCGCAGAGAAACAGTGTTTGGTGCACAACCTTTTGGTGCACCAACAACCTTCAATGCAGCACCAACACCCTTCGGTGCAGGGGCACCAGCTTTCAGGGCACCAGCACTTTTCGGCGCGCAATCAAACCAGGCACCAATGACAGCACAGCCTAGTGCTTCCGTTAAGCTTTTTGGTAACAGAAAAGATCAAGCGTCAAAGGCAATTTGTGGCGAAAGCCTGCCCGGTGATGGTGTTGCCCCTTTTGGGGGGCTCAGTCAGAGTACCCAGCCTATCAGTAGAAGACTGGAAAGCAACGAACAAACTGGCGGGACAAAGGCCCATGACTTTATCCGAGGCGATGTGACTAGATACTTCCTGGACTTGGGAAGTGACATTGGCCAATTGGATGCTCCTACTTTACAAGACAGCAATCCCGGAGGGTGGTATTTACAGTGTGCAGCGAATGGCTACGGCTGTCAACGCTTTGGAAAGCGTAATAGCTGGCCAAGAGCTTCTACCGGCAAAATTTGGCTATTTGCAACTGGTCAACTTTCTAGATGCCCTAGAAACCCATATCCAACTCCAAAAAGACAACGGGGAAGAACGTAGAAAAAAGTCCGCAGCCGCCATTGCGTTCGACCAATACCTCGCTCTTTCAGGCCTTAAGGGCAAGATAAATGGTCAGCGCGATTTGTCCCATAAACTAGAGATAGGCCACTGTTGGAAGGAACTTGCTAGTCAATCGAGTCTCTTATTGCTCGCTTTTTCTAATGCCGCCGAGGATTTCGTGTAAGTGCTGCCTTCTACAGTACCGATACATTCGAGCTAATATATTTTGCAGTAAGAGGGACAACACAAAACCTTTCACTCCGTGTCCTCTAAAGGATTTTACCAATGAATTCTACAAGATAATTCCGAAAAACCTCTTACATACGTGCATTCATGTCTCGGGGATGGCAGAAATGGCAGTCAGGATTGGGAAAGGCTGGGATATTCTACGCGTGAAAGAATTCCGATACTAAGTTTTAAAGCTTTTATATTTAGTTGAATAATGCTAGATGCTATTTCATTAATAGTCAACATTGTTATTCTGAAAAGAATATAGAAGACTAAGCCTAAAATGTTGTGAGAGTGCTCAACCTACAGCTGCATGGTAGCTTACAATGTGAAAACCTACCCCTGACACGGGAACATGCCAAATACAAGCCAAAGAAACAAATCGATATGTATCCTCAGGCCCATTGTCTTTCCTACTTTAACCAACACTTCGCCCTACGAATATACAGTCGCAAAGCTCATCGTTTTTCATCCAACAATAGAAAGTGGATGCCATCCAGCGGCAGCTCAGAAATGACAGCAGAGCTGTTCGATGGAGCCAGGTCACACTCGAGTTGAAGACGCGAGGTGGGGTTCGAGTATGTCATCCTAATCGTTCGTGGCTTTAGCGCTTTCGTTCGGGTCGCTTCTAGAAGAATGGAAGTCATATTTATCAATATGGCTTGGTATAACGTAAGAGGGAGAGCAGTCCTACTATGGTATTTAGGTTCATACTGCGAAAAATGCACAAGAGGAGAGGAAACTAATTGGGCATTAAGGCTACGATTGTTTGTCAACACAAATACCCACAATTTAATAGGCGGGGCTTCTGCCAAACTCGAACGTTAAGTTACTCTGTGTCCGCCCGTCACATGACATGACTAAGCGTTTATCGCTGGCAACACGCAACTGGCCTGTGGGTTACAGAGGCGATACTTTCAAACACATCTTCGACACTGAGAAACGCCCGCGTTAGTTTCATTAGCGTTCTTGCCAATCGTGTTCCTAATTCATGGTTGGTTAAAAAGAACCGCTGGAAAAGCTAGTGCAACAAGCCGAGCTACGTGCGGAAGCCTATGAGAGGCAGACTGGTGCAACAACGCAAAACGGTTGCCTTAACGATGGCCGAAAAGGAAGTCGAAGACCTAAGAAGACAACTTAAGGAAGCTAGGGCGCGAGAGGAAGAAGCAAAGGCGCGAGAGGAAGAAGCAAAGGCGCGAGAGGAAGAAGCAAAGGCGCGAGAGGACAACGAGCGACGCAAAAGCCAAAGGACGACGTTAGCGGAGTACTTGTACAACTGTCACTTCGACCTGTACCAAAAACTCAGGCTCGCTGGCCCATCGGAGAGCTCTACTGGCTTGGCGACATCGGTTGACGGTAAATACTATCCCAGGTGGCTTCGCCCTTGGCATGCCTTTACCGACAGCCAGCGACAAGAACACTTCGACGATATCATCCGCATATGCGGCGAGAGGCGACTTTTTCAACAACGGAGCACAACAAGAGATAACGGAATCAACTTCGAACGGAAAACCGCCGGTTATGAGAATGCCATCGACCACTTCGAAAAAACAGCAGTCGAAGACCCTACGTGGATGATTCTGGAACCCATTTGGGCTGACAGGGAGATGCGTCAAAAGTACCAAGTCACAAATCTAACGTTTATGAATGGCGTTCGCAATTTCAAAGACCTTGACGAGGATATTGGAGCTGAAATCAAAACGGGGAGGGGAAAGCAGCAACCTGATGGAGGTGGCATCCGAACAGGCATAGACGGGAACGAGAGCGCAGCTTTCATGTATGATTATAAGGCTGCGCACAAGTTCGCCGTCGAGGATCTCGAGGCCGCTCTTAGAAAGGAAACTCTGTTCATGGATGTCTACGAGTGGGCGCAGAATGACCAGTACAAAACAGACTCAACGCTTCGAAAGAAAGAGCGAGAAGCAGCGCGCATTGCCATGGCACTGATACAAGTCTTTAATTCTATGTTATGGCGTGGGGTTCCGTATGGTTATGTCGCCGCTGGAAAATCTTTGGTGGGTCTTTACTACGACCGAGCAGAGCCACTTGTTTTGCGCTGGCACCTCTGCGTGCCAGACAAAATGGTGATTCGACCAACAGCTGAGCTTCATGTCGAACAAGTGTCTCAGACTGCGGTTGCTCAGCTTGCCAGCTTTTGTCTGTTGAGCCTCCGCTCTCAGGCGCTTACGGGCCGTCCGCTCAAGGAGGCAATGAACCAGGCCGAGGGCATTCTGAAAAAATGGAAAAGGGAAGCTTACACGGACCCGGTTACTCCGCAGGAGTCAGATGACACAGATTCATCTTCATCTATGCCCTCGCGCGGCACAGATAAATCCTTTGCTTGTGATACATCCCCGGTGGCTCGACTTTGCGGTCGAAGGCATCGTGCAAGGATTCTACAGCGCCTCTCGAGTCGCGCGATGAGGACAAAGAAGGCGGAGCAGAGGGTTATCAACACCAGCACGGAGCAGGAGCCAGCGGCAACAAGGGAGAGAAGGACTCCTGTAGGAAGAGCAAAGACAAAGACACCGAAGGCTCTGCTCCGGCGCCCACGAAACAATACTGCACACAAGCCTGCCTTCTCGGCCTCAAGCTGGGTCGTGAACTAGACAGCAGGTGCCCCTAATGTGCTTTATCACGGTGTTTGCGGCAACACACGCCACCCGATCGACGCTCAGGAGTTGACTAAACTCATGAGCGAGCAGCTGCGTCACGACCCGTACGAGAGCTGTGATGCCCTCATCGGCCGGCGCAAATATGGCTCTAGTGGAGTGCTGTTCAAGTTAGAACTAGCACGCTTCGGCTACACTTTTGTCGGCAAGGGCACCGTGTCCGCACGTCCGAGGCGCCTGGAGCACGAGTGCAGTATCTATCAGCGACTTGAAAAGCTTCAGGGCGACGTGGTGCCTGTGCACCTGGGCATGGTCTCGTTCCGTCCTGGCTACCTCTTGCCTGGCGGTGCGTACATAATCCATATGATGTTGATGTCGTGGGCTGGGGTGGAGATGGATACGACGCGGTCAAATCTGGAATGGGAGGTGCAGCGATCCATACAAACGATCTATGAGAATGGTGTGGACCATCAAGACGAACGTGAGCCCAACCTGCTATGGAACGCTGAGCGATGCCGCGTGATGGTGATCGATTTCGATCAGGCAACCGTCCTACCACAACCTAAACACAAGCGATTGTCTAAACTTTCTAAGGCGGGGAGGAAACGAAAGGGAGATGGCTTGAACTATAACAGCACGAAGCGGGGTGTGCCGGGCGTGCCGAGACGTTCTGTACAATCTGTACAGTAGGCTTGGGCACGTGGTCAATTATATACTAGTCAGATAACCATGTGGTAGTTACTGCTAGTTACTCGCGGCCGTGCTCATAGATCAACCCAAGCTTGCGTGCCTCGTGTTAATTTAAATGGGGTCCCTACGTTGACTGGTGATACATTACTACTTTGACTTGACTACCTTTGTCTTGAGACTACTTTGACTATTTTTAAAGGGGTGACTTTTAGTTCTTCTTAAAATTGTTTACCTTGATGTAATAGTATTGTTCTAATGCTATCAGTAAATCAAGCGGTTCCTATCTGAATGATCTTAGTGCGCACTGACCCTAGCGCTGGCTGTCACGACAAAAGAGGTCGTCAGGCCGAGTCTCTTTCAGGATACAACCCGTGACAGTGTTACAAATGCAGAAGCTTGGTCGGAGGGGACAGCGGCCAGGGCCAGTGACGCAGATACAGGAAAGACGTCCCGACTGGGAGAGAGGGACGCCGTCACGTGACTGCTCGGAAAGATCAGCATGATCAGTGTGCTCGGTACTGAGCACAATTGAGCAGACAGAGCATCACGGAGCAATAGAGATTAGATGGATATAAGGAAGGGGATTTCCGGTAGATAGGCAGACTAGATTTCCACTAATCAATCTAAGCAATAGCTTTACTATTGGGAGTAATCTTCTAACGTGACTTACGCTACCATACTGCCCACTTGCACTCCTGTGCATTCGACCTAACTATTGTGGATTAAGGATAAGCCACCGTTACAGACAGTTTCATTCAGAGTGGGATATTCGTCATTTCGGCTATACCTATAGCTCGAACTGCTAGACTAGAAATATTCTCCAATGCCGCGTTTGTGACAGAAAAGTTCCTTCTGTTTCTTAATTAATTGAAGTACACTGGATGGGTGTGAAAAAACTGACACATATGTCTCGGCCTTGCCCGAGTAAGCGACTGCCAGGAGCATTGAGCCACCTATAATAAGTGACCACCGCCTACTGCGCCGAACATGGAGCCGTATGGCTTTTGCCGAAGAACGGCCCTCGAGCGCCTTGCTGAGTATCTCGTACTTGACTGTCTTATTACCGTAGCCACGACGACCGTCAATATGCCCGTTGCGTTTTTCGCGGAGTATAGTCATGTCAAGCGACGCCAAAAGTTTTTGTAGTTGTACGTAGGCAAGCCGGTGCTTCCAATAGACTAGGCTCTTGTCTGATATAATTTCATCCAAAACTTGAATTGCCTGATAAGCATCTGCAAGGCATGAATCTCGAGCCATTGATGTATCAATTTTTATGTTATCCCAGAAAGTGTGAATCTGACTTTTATCAGTCTGGTACAATAACCAGGGCTCGTCACATATCGTCCGCTTCAGGAAACACATCTCTTCGTTGGTGAGAGCCTCTCCATTGCAGAGAGCCTCCCCGTTAGGCAGAGTCTCGTCGTTGGGGAGAGCTTCTTCGTCGAGGATCTCCTCGTCCCAGTCAATCTCCTCGTCGGGGGGAGTTTCTTCGTTGGGGAGAGTCTCTTCGTCGGGGAGCTCCTCGCCCCAGTCAATCTCATCGTCGCAGAGAGCCTCTTCGTTGCGGAGACTTCTGCCTGAAGCGAGGAGTGTAGTGGGTATGTCCATAGGTGGCTGATGCTGCAATGCCAGAGCTAGGCAATCCATTAGCCATGCTATGATGGTACTGTACGTATATATAGTGCGGGCTGAATCAAAGATTCTGTGAAATGTTAATATTAATTTGTTTACTTTAGCAATTAAGACTGACAATGACGGTGAGGGTCAGCGCATTGCTAGGTAATCTTAGGCCATGCTAGCGTCAGTAGCGGATGACAGTCACCACCTATGGCTGCTGTGATAGCGTGGTTTTTCGGCTGCCTCTGTCGCGATCGTTGCAGTCTGCCCAGTGCTTTCCACGCTGACTTTCCACGCTGCCTGGCACCTAGCACTTCCCTCGCTGTTTTCCTGGAGACTGGCCCCCGTGTTCATCTGGCCCTCCTTCAGACTAGGGCCCGTGTTATTCTTAACACCTAGGCGCCCTCGTTGTCTTCTGCCTACCTGAAGACTGACCCCTGTGTTCTTCTTAGCACAGTGCCTGAAGATTGGCGACTGTGCTCCTCGTGCTTACCTGCAGACTAACATCCACGCCGCCTATCCACCTTTCCATCCACGTTGCCTGCGTACGTTGCACTTCCACGCTGCCTTTCCACGCTGCATTTCCACGCTGTTCCCAGCTATTTTGCTCACTGTTACTCTCGCTGTCTTTTCATGTTTGCATTTAAGATTGGCGTCAATTTCGACAGGTCAAGCATGTTTCATTTGTACATAGATACACACTTCTAACTCTCGACCCCGGATTGCCCTACTTCTCCCCATTTTCAAGCCCAATACTAACGTTGACGACCTCATTCGTCTTCAGCCACATTGTAAATCCAGCTGGAAGTTCCCGAAATCAATCTCCTCCGGGCCGCATAAGGTATTCTTTAACACAATCTCTCAGTCCACCCATTATGATGTGATTAGATGACGAATTGCTAGCAGCCGCGCGTTCGGCAATGCTGGAAAGCTCGCCGCAAATGTTCTTCAATTTATCGGGCACATCATCTAAAGCCATTAGAAACAACTTTCGAAATGAAGGATATTTCCTATGAGGAATTAGCTATACATAACGCGTTGAGTTTTTAATGCGCCTACGCAAAGGATTCCGCAGTTTTGGAGAAAGCAAGCAGTAGAAATGGTGAGGAGCGAACAGCGTCTTTCCAACGGCTGCCGAGGAGTCTGAGACGACGCAAATGGCTGGTAGTGGTGGGAATGCCTTGCGCGTTCCGGTAGAGCTCATACGCTAGCGCAGCATTGGTGCGGTGGCTTTCTGCCTGGATGAACCCACGCTTCTTATCACGTTCTATCCTGCTCCTCAGTGATTCCAGAAAATGGAATAGCTGTAAATATCCAAATCTAGGAGGAAGGTATGGCTCTTCCCTGCCGCTAATGACTCCATCGAGGGCACGAACCGCCGCGGCAAGCCCCTGGACTGTAAGCGGGCCGCAAGGCGCTATTTGCGTAATGCTCAACAGCGCCATCCAGGCAATGAACGTCGCCTCCCATGTCTGCGCAAAAAATCGTGTCGCGTCGAGTTGCACAAAATTCCTGCTGAGTTCAAGTGTCGCATGCAGGGGTATAATTCGCCTTCGCTTCGACTTGATAATTTTGGAATTGTGCCAAGCCTTCTGGGGTGTTGTTACAGCCAATGCGTCTATCACTTGGTTAGCCGTAATCCTTCATGATATATACTCAACTTTGAAAGGATAAAAGCTGCAGAAAAACAAGCTATCACGCGCCTTGTGACGCGACTTCGTTACGAATTGTATCGGGATAATCCGGAATCTCGATGTCCTCATTCTTATGGGAGCTGCCACTATGGACGTTCTCATCCAGAGGCACGGGGACACAATCAGTGGTGATGTCGTAGCTCTGTAGACTCAGCGCCGCCATGCGTTCGACTAATTCGGCGATGGTTACACAAGCCATTAGTGTGACTAAGTTTTTTTGTTTCCTTAGTTTCAAAAAGAACACAAAACAAGGAATACACTTGGAGATTTCCCATATATACTGAGAGTTACTTGTTTACTATAAGTCGTTCGTTTGAGCGTGTTAAAA